CTACAATGAGAGGAGTAGGCCTCATTATGGGGAAACTAAATTTACAGTACCTAGCTTATCTTAGGCAACCTAGAGCGAGTAATTTCTTATTTAGGTACTACTAACATACTCGTGGTTAACCTAGCTAAAAATTATTTTATGGTAGAAATTAACTCTATATTTAAATTCATTAATTATCACACCCATAACATTTAATTTTTATTGTGTTTATTTCAGATGAATAAAGAGGATACGGGGTGCTTTTTAGTCTCCAATCGAGAGGAGGCGGAGAAATTCAATAATATTTTTGATAACTTTTCATTATTTGTACCTCTTAAACATGAAGAGATTAGTTTAAACCGTCCATTAAAACCAAGCCTAGAAGACCTGCCTGACCGAAATGTACGTCTTGTGGAAGCTAATGAATCATGGACTGACATTCCATCTCATCGGCGTACCAGTCCTCTTACTAGAAAGATAGGCAGCAGTATTGGAGAAACAAAACAAACAAACATTAGAGAAGATATTACATTCAGCCAGAGACTTAGGTCTTTATTTTCAGGACAGTTTTTTCCTGGAGAAAAGAGACAAGAAAGCACATGTTATAATAAACTAATGGCTGAAAATGTATCAACAAATTCATACTTAGATGAGGTGACTAACATGAGAACCGTGCAGCAACGAAAGGACAGTGAAGATGGGATAAAAGACAGGTTAAACAGCTCTACGACCAAAATACCTGCAACTATCGCCGATTTAGAAACTGAGAGCATTTTACAACAGAACAATAGACTCCAGATAGATGCTCATTCACCTAAAAGTAGACGTCTGCGCCATAGTCTATTGAGGTGGGCAAATGAAGTCCCTTTAGCAGAGAATGTTCAACACAAGAGAGGCTTAGACGAAGAGCAGGAGGAAGTTGAAAAATTAGGAGATTCAGAGGAAGATGCTGAAGAAGAAATAGAGCCATGTTGTATCAATAATCACTTGGATGATGAAGGATATTCCATGGATTATAATTATCAGAGACGCAAATCGCGTGCGGTTCTCTATCACTTTCAAGGGAATTATGGCCGAAAAGAGAATAAGGGAAAAATGAATTTGAATAGGGTAATAAATCAGTTTCATATTATTTTATTTGGATAGTATTCTTTTACGTTCAATAAATTAAATAAATAAAATTATATCCATAATAATACATACACATATCTCAATGAACATATACTATATTTTCTGGTAAAAATGCAATTATAATTATTCGTATGCTTCTTTGTCTATAATAAGAATATATAATAATTAAAATTTGATTGAATTAATACGTTTATCACAAAAGTAATTGACAAATTTAATAAAAGTCTTGATAAACAAAGCAGCAAAAAGGCAATATTTCGTTATATTTACCTGACAATTATTATATATTTGAATGGCTAAAGATAAAGTATATATAGCAATTTAGATGGGGTCATTTAACATATTTAGGCATAAAAGTATAAGGACAAATATGCCTTTATAATAAAAGCTCTATATGCTCTATTTTTATAAGGAAATAGCTTAAAAGGATAATAATATTTTCTCCTTCAAAGTAAAATCGGGAATATATAATAGCTGCATTCATCCTTATTCGCCAAGGATAATTGTGGAATTTTCATACGATAATATGAGTAGTCATGAAGTTTACATTAAATTTCACATACCTTTGCTTACCTAAAAGATATTCTCATCCAGAGTGGATTGCAGTTTCGAACTTGCTTAGGTTTTATCAACACTCTCAGCGGGACTCTAGCCTTGTTATCAAATCTGTAATATTTTATAAAACTATAGTTGTATTGCATTATTACTCTATGTTAGCTACATTTTCTGCTGTTAAACTGTAGCAAAGATCAGCGTATTTGCAATTCCAATTTTTGAAAAATTATTCTTGGCTTTTTTACATCTCACTAACAGTATTTACTCAGCATATAATCTGTGTTAATAGATTTTGTTTAGTAACTAAATAAACTTTCTTCTAGAGTCTATGTTGCTTAATTTTTGAACAATTTTCGTTTAAAGTTATGTTTTGTAAGGGCTTAATATTCTTGTAATCTTGGCATTATGCTAGGTAATAATTATAGATGATTAATTTGCGTGTAATTATTTTGGCTATGATTTTATCTTACATATAAAGTCGAAAAAGATTTTTAGCTGTATCATTATATTTGGAAATATTAGGTTAATCGTGATATTTCATTTAATAAAATGGAAAAGGGATGCATATATACTAATAGTAAATATGTATTTAGTAGCGTCAATATAGAAAAATTAATTTAGTTATTCATTTCAGTAGATTATATCAACTTTTATTTTTAGGTAACTTTGTCTCAAGCAATTTTTGTAACCAGAAAGCAATGATAAGGCTAGGAATTTTTAAGTGGATTTAATGCAGGTCAGATAGGCTATAATGGAGTAAACTGGAGTGCATCATAACATTATTTTCGCATGCAAGTCTTTGGGATACGTCACTGTTATTTATTCTTGATAAGCTAAAGACTTTTATAAAAATAGTAAAGATGAATTGTCCTGAATCTGAGTGCAAACTTTTGCATTTATCAATTGCAATCTAGAAATGCACTGTTAGGTATGGTGAGTATTCATGTGTTTCGTTCCAATATTTTTACGGTTAATAAAATAACTAATATAAACATAATTCTACCAAAGATTTGTTCTGATCGAATACTGAAGCAAAATAGTTTAATATTATAACTTCTATGAAATGTCAGCTATTATTTTGTACCAGTACCTTTGATTCCTCGCTTCGATATGAATTACATTTGTTTGAAGCACTTGACTTATATGAACAAATAGGACAATTTGTTTACGGATGAAATTCTTTGTAAATTTAAAGGAGCTAGAATATGCAATTAATATTGAAGTACTTAATAATCCCTTACGACTCACTGTAAAGCAACCATAAATAGGCGTCTACAAATAAAATAAAACTTGCGATTTGATACAGAAACTATTCTTTCTTAATTTGTATTTTTACAAAGCAAATCAATGTTATATCCCATTACATTATTTTTACTTTAGCAATTAAAAAATCTTAGTGGAAAAACTATGCCTGAGTACAAAATGCAAGAGATGAAGAAGTCCTACTTTGTACTTCTTCATTATGGACTATTTCGCATTGTCTGGGACTGGATTCTTTTGTTGTTTACATTTTATATTGCTTTCATGGTGCCATACAATGCTGCTTTTGCTACGGAGGCAGAAGAAATCAAGGTACCAGGAGTTATAGACCTTATCGTTGAACTTTTATTTATAACAGGCAAGTGATCTCAAAATTATTTTGCTTTCGTAAAGACATTATCTACAATTATCATAGGCCAATTATAATAGCTATGGTTATGTAATGATATTGTATTAGAATGTAAATATGCTAATATATGCAACATGAATGTATGTAAGACAACTAATTAAATTGGAGTTACTTTTTCAAAAATATGAAAAAAATCTGGGTTTTGAAGAATTATTTAGTCATATATTTTGATATTACTTTCTATTTTGAGGAAAAATTGGTAGGAAAAATTTCATGGTGTGTTCTAACCGGAAACCGAAGTACAAATTGCCGCATAGAGAAGACTTTTGAATTGTGTAAATAAGTCCTCGGGAGCCATGTAGCGATTTTCCGAAAGTTTATATGCAAATTTTCTAAATATATGTTAACATATAAATTGCTTATAGGTTTACACAAGAGAATGTCCTCGTTTTAGCTAATGATATAAATCTGCAAAATATAAATAACAACTAGCGTTCGCATGCTCTATATTTAATTTTTTTATAAATCTTTAGAGCCATTTTGTTTCAGATGTTATTCTCAACTTTCGCACAACATTCGTCAGCAAGAGCGGACAGGTTGTAAATGACCAACGTAAAATTGCTCTAAACTACCTTCGTGGCTGGTTCACTCTCGATCTGCTTGCAGCTATACCATTTGATTTTATCATCCTCTTGCTGAATCTTGTTGATATGATAGCCACAGCCAGCACCACCAGCGGCAATGTCATTGGAGCCAGTGGTGAAAGTAGCCTGCCAGGAGGAGCAAAGAACGTGGTTGGCACCAGCGGTGCAACTGCTGGTAGGGACGGTAGTAGTGGTGGAAGAATCAGTGGAATAGCTGTTACAGGAGAAGCAGGTGGCAGACAGAACAGCGCTTCTGCTATCGGTGCCTCAACGACAGGGCAGAATCACATCCCGACAGGTTTAACTGCTGCAAGTGCATGGTGGCCTTCGGCAACAGCAACTGCAGCCGCAGCAGCAGCAGCGGCTGACGCATTGACCCTGCCCAGACACACCAATAGTGCCGGACTTGGGTTGCATTCTTCCCTAAGTTCTAAAGAATTCACAGTACAAAGCAACTCTAGTAATAATATCAGCCAGAGCGGAAGTTCTAAGGAATCTCTTCTTCTCTCTGGGAATAGTTACAATAAACAGCAAGGAATCATCCAAAAATTTAGATTAGAGATTCCAAAACGGAGAACAAGGATTCGCCGGAAGTTAAAGACGGAAGTCAATCACCAGGCAAGTACAGTAACCGAAAAGTGGACAAACTCCAAAAATCCAAATGGTCAAGATACTGCATTACGCGTAAATAATACTAATAGTCGGACCGAATATGAAATTGTGAATGAAATCGAGTCGGAAAAAGATATAAACTCAAAATCTCGCTTTGTAAGTTCAAGAGCTTAAAATACAATGCATTCATTGAAAAATATTCTCATAACTATTTAGCAAATAAAATTATATTAAAATCTAATATTTGATGAATATATTTGTTCGAGAACAATTTAAAAAATGCATGGTTAAGATTTTCTATTTAATTGTAAATATTTTTGCATTTAATTTTTATACTGAATCAAGACAATATGCTACTTAATATGAATGGTAGAATTATTTCTATTTTACTATAAATTTTATTTATTTAAAAGTATGAAAACAAAATCTGAGGGATATTTATCAAATTCTTGTATTTCTACCATCTAAACTAACCTATTCATACTAAGGAGCCATGCACTTATTAAGGCAATAAAAAATGATTTTTCCTTGAGATGGAATTTTGCTCATTTGAAATATTTCGGTATGAATATAGTTACTCGATAC